GAATGAGTTGGTTTTCGTTTTCAACATTGCTTGGATTTTTAGAATTAGTAAGTAAAACATTTAAATGTATAAAGTGTTAGTTTGTGTATTGAACTTAACTAAATTAATTTCGCATTACGGTGATAATAATTAGTATTATTTATTAAAGTACGTGCACAGTGTGCTTGTTCATTATTGAAATTGATTAATTTTTTAATAAGAGTTGACGAAACAAAAGATACCAAGGTTTATGTATTTGAAGATGAAAACCTATGTAGTAAACCTCTTTAAACACCAAACCAATATATACATACATATGTGAATACGTAATAATGTATACATAAGCGTGTACTTATAAATTCATATACATATAATATCTAGACAAGAAAATCATAAGAATTTTAAAAAATCTAAGACTTTATAATTGCACACATCTATTATTGGTTTTAAAGGTGAATATGTATTTTTTTGTAAATCTGTGTGTACATATGTAGTTTCGAAATGTGTAATAACCTTTCGAAAACCAATAATTGCACACGATGCACCTCATGGTTTGTCATATTAAGGTGCATTATATATTTATACAATATACTATACATAATGCATACATACATCTAAGTTTTCGTGAGAGTTTATTGCCTCCCGCATAAAAGTATGTACATAGTTATCTACATTACATAGTTGAATATTAAGTATTGTCACGCAAATTAAGCATCAGGTTGTTTTATAATTCTTTTAATTTAAGGTAATATCTTTTGCTGCTTTAATCGCAAAAAAAATCACAGACAGCCAAGGTGAGCAAGTTTTTAAAAGAAACCAAAAATTATCAACTGAATGGAGCTTACTTAATAACTTAAATTGGTCTCAGGCTGGAAACGACTTCAGCATTATAGTTTATGGTGGATACACTTTCATAGCTGGGGTTTTTTTGTTGTCAAGGTAATAGCTTCAACTTTTTATTTCATTATTTCGCATTACTCCGAAACAATTTTTTTAATAATATGCTATATACATACATACTAATTCAATACGTATATTTTAAAATTGGGAATACAGTGAAACTTTTTGATTTGAATTTTATACAAATACGTTTCAAAAAGTATAAATTTTATAACTTACAAATACTGAGTGTATAATTACCTCAGATTATATGTCGATAGTCAGGCCACACTGAACTTAGTAGTAGTTTTTTGAATAGTGGAACCATTTTCAAAAAAAAATTATATTTATATACTTATACATGTCATATATATTTTTTCAGAATCAAAGCAAATAAATTTGAAATGTGTGAGAAAACATTGCTGTACTGCGGAACAATATTTTTCGTGACTCAAGGTGAGCTTAATTTATCTTTCTATATTAAACTATAACAGACAAAAAAATTCTGCAAATTAGCAAAAGTATAAGGTTAAATTTTTTTACGACATTGTTATCCTACTACAAAGACTTTCGACATAGCTGGGAACAACAGCACTGAGCCGATAGTTTCGTCTTGGCTTTCGGATGACCAAAAAATTCGAATGTAATTGTACCCACTCAGCACATTTTCTCAAATAACTAATGTTTTCAGTAATATAAATTTTCAAATTTGGAATTTTATGAAATTTTGCTGTTGATTAAACTTATTTAAAATCAATATATAAATATATATTTCAGCTTGTTTAGTGTTTGGGACTTTGGAGTACATACCAGATGATATTCAAATAAATGCGCTAGTTCTGGGAACATTATCAGTTATGGGATCCTTATTATTCTTTATTGACATTTGCTACAACTCTTCTTTAAAATATGTTGTATCGAGGGCGGTACAAACTGAGACATACTGTTCGCTTTCAAATCAGCTGTCAAGTATCCAACAAAAGCCACCATCATCTTCTCATGACTTAGGTCGAGAAAGCGTTCAAAAATACTTTTCTGGAAACGAATTATATATTAAACCACTGCCAATAAATTTAAAAAAATGTCAAACAAATAACGGCATACAAAATAAAAATTTAAAATGTGTTTTGCAAACTGATGTATAATGAACATTTTAAAATTATATTTTTATTTTCATAAAATATTATGAAGTCATACTATTTGCACATTATAAATTATTTTGTGAGAATTGCGAAATTCGAATATGCCAATCATTTATTAATTAATTGTTACAGATTGCAATTACATATCATTTGAAATACGAAATAACGTAACAAAATTTTCAGAAATTTTGAGTGGCATGAATGAAACACAAAATAAAATGGAACATGAGTTAACAAAATTTTAATAGTGGTAAAAACTGGTTTATATCTGAGAGCAGAACCTGGAAATGTTGAACATATGTAGTATTATGTATTTAATTTGAAGTAGTGAAGCGTAAATTTCGAATTTTTAGATGATACGTTATTTTGCATTTCAGGTAACGATATAATGCATGTATATTTAAAAAATCGTATTAATTATTAAATTCATACCACAGTAATATTGAGAATATAAAACACATTTACATTTTTTTTTTTGTGATAAATATCATATATGAAATGAGATTGTTTAGAAAATTTTATGTGCCAAAAGTATTTTCCCGGGTGATAGAGAGTCTGTCTGTTTGGGAATTTTGCCAAAATCAAAGATTTCTGTAATTTTGAAAGGCACTCTCATCACGCATTTGTTCTCATTTTATTCAGTCGCCGTCGATCGTTTCAAAAGCGCGATCTTTCCTTAGCTCTTATTTTCGGCTGGGCTAAACATTGTTTCGCAATAAGAAAAATTAAAAATTTTCATTATTGACGCCGAGTAAAAAATTTGTGTAAGTTTTTTAAAAATTGGAAGTAATTTATTGAAAATTTGATGTGCTATTTGTTACGATAAATCCGTAAATAAGTTTTTTTTTCAGTTTTAAATGTATCGAAAAATAAAGAAATAGTTATTTCAAGTTAAGAGTTAAACCAGTTTCTTGTGATTTTGAAAAAGTGTAAAGTGTAAAATAGTTATTTTTCAAGCAATCATATCTAAGCAACCTGCAAATCTATGACGAGGTTAAAAATTTAACAAAATTCTTCGAAATGAAGTCAACAAAAGCTTTTCGTAATGATATATGTCAAGAAAAGATGTATTTCTAAATCTATTATAAAATTAATTATTTTTAGAATACTAAGCATTGAAACGAATTGGAACAGACCATGTGACAGTCTCCTGGGCAACGGTGATAATGCCTGTGGATACTCACATTAGCATACATACATACATGTATTATATATTATATCCGTGCATACATTATAATTCGACTATCTTCATATTTACCAAGGCATCTATGGAGTTTGCGCAATATTCAAATACTGAATATACCATATTCATACTCTTAGCATTGAAATAATTTACCTTAAACCCTGATGATAAAATATATGTTAATTTTTAATAGTATTGACGATTAGACTGGCTAAGATTATGTACATTCAGCGGTTACTCAAATTTTGGAAATAAACATACATATATTTCTCACTGAGTAAATCTATAAATTTTTCCCTTATCATCTTATTATGTAGCTAAATATTATTTTTAATATATTTGGTTCCTTAATGAAATAAACCATTTTGCATATTCTTACTTGCATGAAATGAACGTATATATGTACATACAAATGAGTATGTATGCCCGCCGTAAAAATATATATGTGTATATTAACATATATATATATGCATCCATTCACATATACTCGTACACTTCAAGGTATTGTGAAGAATGTATGTAAGTATATTAAAATAGAATAGATTTAAAATTCGTAATTTTACTTAGTATCTTTTTTTTCGGGTTCTTAAATATTAAATAGCAAACCATAAATTTACTTAATTTAAATAATAATTATTTAAATTTTTCGATCATTTGGGATACCATTTTGATGTTTTATTTGTAATTTTAAAATTTTGTGACTTTCAATCACATGCATTTTTTTCTGAGTGTTTTGCAATGAATTTTTATTAACTGGCAACACTTCAAAAGCCAGCTGTCAGGCCATGCTTCCTCCATATCGTATAACGTTGCGTTCTACACCATTATTCACCATCGCGCTTGTCTTTTTTTTTAATATTTCTCAATTACTAAAGTAGCACATAAAATAATACAATTTATAACATTTTAATTAAAACTAAAGTATTTAAGGGTATTTAGTAAATGTACATAGTTCAAAGTGTCGTTTTCTGGCTGCTGGGAATTTGTCAAAAAATAGGAGTGCAGCTGACTACCTCCTGATCTAACCAAGTAAATGCAATTTGGATATAATTTAGAAAAATATGTACGTATGCTCAAAAACTCTCATATTGGACTTAAAGTCATTTTWTGTGGAATTAATGCTCAAAACGTGATCACTAATATTATTTTATTACAATAAATTGAGACAAACGTTTCGTTCTAAAATTATCTATGTATTTAAGTATTCTTTATTGCATTAAATCATGTAATAATATATATAACTGGCCCTTAAAATTTCGATAACATAACAAAGAATGTGAAAATATATAAATTGTTAAATTTTTTCATACTGCATATATGAAATGAATGGCACAACAGTCCAGAATTAGTATTTCCTTAATTCGACATTTTCGATAAAAAGTCCACGTCATTCAAATACAGTGAAATCAAATGATCAATTCCAAAYGTCATAATTTTTCCATCAAATAAATTTAGTTAATATTTTATATGTTTTGACCAGTACATAAATACATTCATTTAATGAAGTAAGTAAGAACAACCCCATATAAAAAGAAGAATTGCAATGGGTAGCCTGCAGTGTAAAATTCCAATGCTTATTAAAAATGGTTTTTATCCACTCGAAGTATCTATATAATAATTCTAAAAAGTAAGATATCAAATTCTGCAAAGATTAATTGTCTGCAATACTTTTTAACAAGTCAATGCGTTATTCTTCTCATTTCTCATTAAAAAATGTCATATAATGCTACAAAACTGTTTACATATATGCAATATAAAATTAATTTAAAATTGTATACTAATTCTACAGAATTCCTGCGCGTCGATAATCAGTAACAATGGAAGACGGCCACGCTAAAACCGTCGAACAAGCCTTGAACTTTTTTGGCACAGACTCTGAACGCGGACTTACTTTGGAACAAGTTAAAGCCAATCAAAAAAAATATGGTCCAAATGGTAATATTTATATTATGCTTAAATTTGTTTGTTAAATTTATTAATTGCTCTACTCTTTCTCTTTCAGAGCTGCCTACGGAGGAAGGTATTTGAAGTATTCTACTGGAAAAATAAATAAATTAACAAAAAATTATTTTTTGCAGGAAAAACTATTTGGCAACTTGTTTTAGAACAATTTGACGATCTTCTTGTGAAAATTCTGTTATTGGCCGCTATAATTTCTTTTGTAAGTTTTTTTTAATTCATCTATAATTTGTGCATGTATATGTATGCTCAAATATATATATATTTTGAAATGGATAATTTCAATTATTTGACTGCACTATAAAATTTGATTTCATACTTTTTCAGGTCTTAGCTTTATTTGAAGAGCACGAGGATACATTCACAGCATTTGTAGAACCTTTAGTTATTCTTTTAATTTTGATAGCAAATGCCGTCGTAGGTGTATGGCAAGAACGAAATGCTGAGTCTGCAATCGAGGCCCTCAAAGAATATGAGCCAGAAATGGGTAAAGTAGTTCGTCAAGATAAATCTGGAATTCAGAAAATTAGAGCGAAGGAAATTGTTCCTGGAGATATAGTTGAAGTGTCCGTTGGAGATAAAATTCCTGCTGATATTCGACTAACTCATATCTACTCCACTACTTTACGAATCGATCAATCAATTTTGACTGGTGAATCAGTGTCTGTTATAAAACACACAGATCCTATTCCTGATCCACGCGCCGTTAACCAGGATAAAAAGAATATATTATTTTCGGGTACAAATGTGGCAGCTGGTAAAGCTCGAGGCGTGGTCATTGGTACGGGTTTAAATACAGCGATTGGCAAAATTCGCACAGAAATGTCAGAGACAGAGGAAATTAAAACTCCGTTACAACAAAAATTGGACGAATTTGGCGAGCAGCTGTCAAAAGTGATTTCTATTATTTGTGTTGCTGTTTGGGCAATAAATATTGGTCATTTCAATGATCCCGCTCATGGCGGTTCATGGATAAAAGGTGCTATATACTACTTCAAGATTGCTGTAGCATTGGCTGTTGCTGCTATTCCAGAGGGTTTACCAGCTGTAATTACAACTTGTTTGGCATTGGGAACCCGCCGGATGGCGAAAAAAAATGCTATTGTTCGTTCATTGCCATCTGTTGAAACATTAGGTTGTACATCCGTGATTTGCTCAGATAAGACTGGCACCTTAACAACAAACCAAATGTCGGTATCAAGAATGTTTATTTTTGAAAAGGTTGAAGGTAGCGATAGTAGCTTCCTAGAATTTGAACTGACTGGATCAACATACGAACCTTTGGGTGAGCTCTTCTTGGGAGGCCAACGGGTAAAAGCTTCAGAATATGAAGCCCTTCAGGAGTTAGCTACTATTTGTATTATGTGTAATGATTCCGCAATCGATTACAACGAGTTCAAACAATGTTTCGAGAAGGTTGGTGAAGCCACAGAAACGGCTTTAATTGTACTTGCTGAAAAATTGAATCCGTTCAGTGTCAATAAGACTGGCCTCGATCGTCGTTCCGCCGCTATTGTTGTGCGTCAAGAAATCGAAACGAAGTGGAAAAAGGAATTCACTCTCGAGTTCTCCCGTGACCGTAAATCAATGTCTTCATACTGTACACCACTGAAAGCATCCCGATTGGGAACTGGTCCAAAATTATTTGTAAAAGGTGCGCCCGAAGGTGTTTTGGAACGTTGTACACATGCGCGTGTTGGAACAAGCAAAGTGCCACTGACTTCAACACTTAAGAGCAAAATTTTGGCTTTGACTGGACAGTATGGTACTGGACGAGATACTTTGCGTTGTCTTGCTTTAGCTGTAGCGGATAGTCCTATGCGGCCAGATGAAATGGATTTGGGAGATTCCACCAAATTCTATCAATATGAAATAAACTTAACATTTGTTGGTGTTGTGGGTATGTTGGATCCTCCACGTAAAGAAGTTTTCGATTCTATTGTACGTTGCCGAGCAGCAGGCATCCGAGTAATTGTAATCACTGGTGATAACAAGGCAACCGCTGAAGCAATTTGTCGTCGCATCGGTGTTTTCGGTGAAGACGAAGACACTGCTAATAAATCATATTCCGGTCGTGAATTTGATGATCTTTCACCCGCCGAGCAAAAAGCGGCTTGTGGCCGCGCCCGGCTCTTTTCTCGCGTAGAGCCACAACACAAGTCAAAAATTGTTGAATATCTACAAAGCATGAATGAAATTTCTGCTATGACTGGTGATGGTGTCAATGATGCCCCTGCTCTTAAGAAAGCTGAAATTGGTATTGCAATGGGTTCAGGTACTGCTGTAGCGAAATCGGCCGCCGAGATGGTGTTGGCTGATGATAACTTCTCATCCATCGTATCTGCTGTTGAAGAAGGTCGTGCTATTTATAATAACATGAAGCAATTTATTCGTTACCTTATTTCTTCAAATATTGGCGAGGTTGTGTCTATCTTCTTAACCGCTGCTTTAGGATTACCCGAAGCTTTGATTCCAGTACAACTATTATGGGTTAATTTGGTAAGTAATATTCAAAAATTTGCAAATTGAAGGAATTACTAATTAAGCCATGTATACAGGTAACAGACGGTCTTCCCGCAACTGCTCTCGGATTCAATCCCCCTGACTTGGATATTATGGAGAAACCTCCACGCAAAGCCGACGAAGGTCTTATTTCTGGATGGTTGTTCTTCCGGTATATATTTAAGTATTCATATGTATTGTCAATGTATTAAAAATAATAATCTACTTATAGATACATGGCTATTGGTGGTTATGTTGGTGCTGCCACAGTTGGTGCTGCAGCTTGGTGGTTCATCTTTGCTGAGACAGGCCCTCACTTAACCTACTGGCAACTGACACATCATTTGTCTTGTACTGGTACAGGAGATGACTTTAAAGGAGTAGACTGTAAGATATTCAGTGATCCCCATGCAATGACCATGGCTTTATCCGTGCTTGTTACAATTGAAATGTTGAACGCTATGAACAGGTAACAAACAAAACCAATATATACAACTAATAATTACTACCCAATTCTTTCTTACGCAGCCTTTCAGAAAATCAGTCCCTTATTACTATGCCCCCATGGTGCAATATGTGGCTAATTGGTTCAATGGCTCTTTCCTTCACACTTCATTTTGTTATCCTTTATGTGGAAGTCCTTTCTGTAAGTGTTAAGTATAAAGTATTCTGAATATATATATATATATATATATATATATATTTATTTTTTGTTTTCTCCTTTTCTTAAGACCGTTTTCCAAGTGACCCCATTGTCAGGGGAAGAGTGGCTAACTGTGATGAAATTTTCAATTCCTGTAGTTTTATTAGATGAAACGCTGAAGTTCGTTGCTAGAAAGATTACTGACGGTGAGAGCCCAATTCTAAAAATGCATGGGATTGTTTTGATGTGGGCCGTTTTCTTTGGCCTCTTGTATGCAATGACGCTTTAAATAGTTGGTTTAAATAACTTACATACATACATAATTCTAGAAAAATTAGATAAAATAACTATTTAATTAAAATTCTATACTAATTTCCATATGACATATACATATATATTTAAACTTTAATGCTTTAGCATTACGCTGCTGAAATTAGGAGCTTGGAGAATGTTATTTTTAATTATTTTAAGGTAATTAAACCAATAACAATATAGTAATGCCTACAGTGTTTACTAATTTTTWAAGATCATTAGGGAAAATACTCCAGATTAAATTGCAATAATTAAATGTATGACAAGTTCACAAAGTTACTTAGTTGGGAAACTGATAAATTGAGGCAAAATATTCTAAAAAATTTCAATAAAGCCAAAACCAGGAATCTCCAAATATAAAGTTATGAAAGTACAAAATATTCAAATGTTTCGATTGATTTATGTACTTCGCATTTTAATAGTCTGATGGAGTCATACAAAATTATTTATTTAAAACGGCATGAACATGCAATATTTTATTATTAAGGATTTTTTTTTATTAAAGTGAATTAAATTACAATACTTGAGCAAATCGTTCTCAAAGTTCAAATCAAAATTTCTACCGATTAAATAGCAATGTACTTATACTAATAAATTTGTGTTTCTATTATGATACATGATATTTTTTTTAATAACCATTTTTGTTACGCTGAATTATTCGATGCTCAAAAGTCCATTTCTGGTTTGCTCTCGAACGATAATTTGTCGTTGTTTGAAACTCTTACCAATAAGGCTGAAATTATGGTAACATTAACACAAGATCAAATGACTGAATTGCAAATACTTTATATTTTTTACAATCTTAAATTGGAATACAATAACCCGGTTCATAAGTTAGACTTACGAATAATTTCCTGAAAGCATTTTTTTTTTTTTGTTTTTGCTGCATTGAGGGCGTTTTAAGTTTTGTAATTTTCAGGTGCCATGCTGTCTTAACAAAAAGTGCGCAATTTCTGTATGTGCCTCTGCTGCTTGCCCAAATTAAAATACCGAACATAATACCAACCAAAATAAATCAAAATTTTTCAATTCCACTTTTTAGTCAACCCCACGTTCCACTAAAAAAAGAGTCTGCTGTATAATATTTCAAAAAAGAAAAAGAACAATGACAAATTCATATGTGATGCAATCTGCTTAACCGGTCCTCCAACAATCACGGATGAAAACCATACATTACCCACTATCTATGATTCCTGACCATTTATAAAGATGCCTTGCTATGGTTTAATAAATATCCCTTTGCATTAAACATTGTTTTGTAAAATATTAATTAATTTTATTATGTAAGACGCCACGATTTAAACGACACCCAAATATCAAATGCCCAAAAAATTACACTGAAGTTTACTTATACCGTTAAGTTCTATTTACAGCTTCCCATTCAAGACATTTTCCGAGGCTTTAAACAATATTTGAGATTTTTGATGTGAAATCTGATATGCTTTTGCCATATATTTCACATTTACGCATTTTTATTTATTTATTAATCTGAAAAATAATTAATTTTAGTTCCTGACGTCATTATCGATAAATGGTAAGCAGGAGATGACCAATGTTTTCAAATCCACTCACAAAAAAAGCGGAATGCTACACACATCTTAGTCTACAAGTTGAAAATAAAAATACTAATATCCTTAAGATATTAAAAAAAATTAAAAAAATGATTTTGTTTAAAATTAGCAATGTGATTCTCGTGGATTGTGCAATAAAAAAACGTACAACAACCAATTACATCTATTGAATTTTTATTTTATCCAAGCATATACACAAATTATATTAAATTCGTTACCAAACAGAAAACCTATTTACATTATATATATATTATATATACGGATTTTTAAGAACGCAACAAACCCCATTTGTTGATTTATTCTTTTTTATGTTTCCTAAGTTGAATATGCTCAGAAATTCGAGGAACTACTTCAGTAAAGATTATCGTACCGAAAAAAACCAGTCCCGTACCAATCCAATGGTAAATTGTAAACGGATTTTTAAAATATATAATAGAAAAAAGCAATGATACAAACTTCCTCAATGTTACGACAAGCGTAACTGTTAATGAAGCACATTCAGTTGTTAAAATATATACCGATCTTATACAAAGATACTGCGTAATAACGTTGCACATTAAATAAAATATCATTTGAGGAATTTCAACATTAAACCCAATCATAGAAATGATTGGTAATGCCATTGGTTCACTATCAGTAGCAATACTGAAATGTTCCCAAATGTTTTTGTATATGAAAATGAAACCGGGTAAGGGAATCAGGTGCTGTAAAAGAACAATAATAATGACTAAGTGACTTTTTTTTTGTCTGTATCAACTTTACCGTAAAGAAGAGAGCCTCTTGAGGATGTTTGCCGAATTTCTTGTACAGAGTTTCCTGACAAATGCCCATATATGCAGATATAAAAAGAGCAATGGAGAGTAAACCTATCCCAAGAGTCCATATAAAGAAGTCGGAATATCCAACATCCAGGGCCTCTGTTGGTTTGACAGTGGCATTTTTCTAAATAACAAAAWGTTTAATTCTTATAATCTGGTAGTAAATTATTAAAAAAACGGTGTTCATACGAAAAAGTACCTTAGGTCGGATATGAAGTAATAGTAAACTCGATTTACGTTTCACGCGAATAGATCCAATAAAGGAGGTAATTTTTCCAAATGGGAATACAAAAACATTTTAGACAGTAAACTAATTTTGCCTTACTATCTACTCCATACCGACTTTACATCGATATGTATGATATAGGGTCTCATATGAAAAAATTATTTACACTTACCACACTACTTCCAGAAATAATTGTACACAACACAATTCCAGCGGTTATCATGAAAACGGATAAATACTTCGAGAAAACATAATTCTTTTTCAAAATAATTATTCCCATTATCATGTTAGCAATAAGTGATCCCTGCAACATTTTAAGCGTAAATCAATATTGGTATGGTATTTATTAGATCTTAGGCTATTAAAAATTTACTTACAGCCCTAAATATCATATGTAAAGGCATTGGTATATTGAAGTCAAACGCAAAGTTGTTGGCCACACTTGTTACAAAAAACAGAATCACAAGAAGGGAGTAATTACGCAGAGGTATTTTCGGCACGAAATCGCGAGACGCAATTATATGTACTAACCCTTCAAGAGCAATAAACTGAAACTGTGAAAATGTTATAAGATTCCCAGCTCCGGGATCTTCTCTGAAAGTAAAGATTAGTTGTTAGGTCAATTATTAAAATAAGGTTATCAAAAATATAAAAGTGTACTGATGTAAACTTACTTTACAAGATACTCTAGAAATACAACATTGCTGCAGCATCCCACAAAAACGCATATTACAGCCGTAAGTGCTTTGATATTCATTTTTTTTTTTAATCTGAAAAGGAAGTGATTATTAAACCTTCACGTTTACTTATTAAATAAAGTACATATGCAAATCTGAAATGCTATCTAGTGGTTAAAATTTTGAGATATAAGATTTGAACAAAATTTCAAAACAGAGCTCTTATAAAGGACCGAATTAGAGTAAAATACGTGTACTGCTACTATCAGCAACTAGATAAAAATGTGATAAGTGGGCCGGTTCCTCCAAAGCAATTCTTATTTTTTTTAAATAAATATAATTTTTTTTTTATATCTAAAAAAATGAGCACTAGCTGTCAGGTTTTAAAATACATCCTACGTGCAACGAATCACCTTACAACTTGAACCTTACCGCTCAACCGGGATTTAGATAACGACTACAACAACTTAACAACCGTCCGCCGACAATTTTGTTTGTCGCCCTTTAAAATATTATTGATATTAAACTCATCATGCAACTTGTGAAGCATGTCTCAAACAATGCATTCATCAATTTGACCGCCACAACACCTCAATTTTCATTTAAATTATTTATATATTCATCTCTGTAATAATTGAAAAACAAAGTTACTGAAACGTATTCCTAACCCACATATCTCAAATTATATATGTAGTAATTTTTTTACAAGAGCTTTAGTAAATATTATATAACTTACTAGTTGAAATAAACTATTTAAAAAGAAGAGTAAAATATTTAAAATCAGAATGTATTCGTCCACGTCGCACCTGAAGTAAAAGAAATTAAATAATTTTAATAAGAAAAATTTTGGGGATTCATCTTATTATCTTTTTCATTCGCATGGATGCCATATTTTGTTAATAATGTGGGTGTTTATTTAATAAAAAAGCAAAGATTTTTAATTTTCGTTTAATTCTAATGAAATTCTACGTAACAGATTGTCGTTTCATATTTCACAGAGCATGTAGGTAGAACCTTCTCTGTATTCGGACATTCTTTGTGCATTAATTTCTTGCGCATTTCTTGGTAACAGACGGCAGACTTGTGCATTTAGACAGCTGATAGTGAAATTTTTTTATTTGTTAAAAAAAAAGTGAAGTAAAAATGAATAAGATAAATTATTAATAGAAATTTTGGTATTTTTGGAAAATCAATATAAATTTAACGAAAAAATTCGGTTATTATTAACTAAGTCAAAAGATAATAGTGAAATTAAAAGCAATAATTGATTAAAATGCGTAGAAAGTGTGCAAAAAATTTAAGATTATTGGAAAAATTGATTACAAACTGTGCGTTATTTATTTTCTGCCATCTAAAAATATTAAAACTCGTTTTTGTTAATATACTTGCACATTATTTAATTAGCAATATAAAACTGCTTATCTCTGTTGCTGTAAACGCAAAAAAGGCAGCATACTTCAAGCGACATCTGTCAAAAAATAGCAAAAATCGGCCATTTTTGAAAAGTGTTGCCTACTCATATTTGGTAAATTCAGCTAAATGCACGAAATTCTTGTGCATTGCAAACTTGCATTAACATGTTTCAAATGCGCAAGTAAATGTAAATTAAGTCCGCTAATGCATATTAGCGCTGTCGTCTGTGAGGGCTATCACACACACAAAATAGATGGTGAAATTAAAATTTCCACAATCGAGCTCAATGGCAACTATGAAAAAAATTTCTAAACGCAAAGTAATGCTGACTTGCATAGCGCCGAAATGTTACGAATAAGAGCATAAAGCGTCTTATCCATTGTATAAACCTATACTATATAGAATTATATATTTTATATTTACCTATTATATATTTACATACATATTTATGTATTTTTTCTATATAGGTTTACACAATAGTAATATCAGAACACTATCAACGCCATATTTTCGTCTTTCCTCGTCGCCCATAGTTTTATTTTTCTTTTGATTTTGAAATTCTTTGATTAGAAACTAATAGCTCTTTCACATACAATTTTCTTTGCTTTTGTTGATAATTCATACAGAAAAAGTATATGTTTGAAAATGTTCACGATGCAGAGAATGTAAGAATATTTCACTTTTTCTGGGGTACTATAAATGATGAGCGTGTATCACCATAGAACATTATTAACGTTTTTCCAACCACCTCCAGTTATTGACTGCTTTACTTAAATAGAGCAAACTGGCTGTCAGTTTTTTCATGRATCTAGCTTTACCTTGTGAATCACTTCGGGCACTTTGGGGCATAAACGGTGCATGTTTTTTTTGAGGAGCCAGTTTCGATAATGCGATTTCTCTGGTTGAAAATCCCCTTACTAATAATGAGAAGATAAATTGTAACGCCTGGGCTCTTATATGTTATAATGGAGTTTATAAATTAGGAGCACACACAGATTACCGAAAATGTACATATGATATTGTAAATAACATTATCCTAACCTCACTGCAAGTCTTAATTGATTCAATTTTTGTAAAAAAAAAAAAAATGGATTGCAAACTGAGGAAGCACTTTTATGAATTGAATAATGCATAAAGTAACTTATTTTCCCCTATCAGCACACATTCAGGTATCCAGAAAAATAAATTTAAAAAATTGGCAAATTATATACAAGCGTTATCATGTTTTTTAGAAGAGTTTTCGAAGTTTAAAATATTTTATTGTGTCTTGTTCTACACACTTTTAATGAACTTTTATTGAATTTATATAGTACTCCGCATTATCGCAAACGACTGATAAAGATTCATTTACAGCTTCAACTTTGTGCGTCTCCAGTGGCGTCTCTTTGCATTGTATCTGTAAGAAGAACCGAAACATTTTAACATTGTCATTAAAAAATTCTAGATTCACAAAAAAAACTTTTACCTAATTGTATTTCCAGTACGTAAACGTATCCACTGAGGAACCGAACGGTTCTGCTTCAGCTTCTTAGCAAGCTTTTGTTTAATTCTGAAAGATTTATGCGCCGCCTGAAACAATATGACATCAATAACTTCTGGGTATAAATTTATTTTATAATTGTGAATTGATGTATGAAATTTAAACGGATTGATCACTAACCATTCTGTGCACTTTGCCTTACAAGTGAGAAAAGAACGAAAACAGAAATTAGTGATAGGACTGAAGGGTTWTTGAAATCTTTTTTATCGATAACTTAGTACTGCCAGACGACCTTTATATTTTTTTGCAATCTGATGAGGCTTAAATTGGAAACACACGACATAAAATAAAGTTGTAAGTAATAAAACATTTATTACCTGTGTGATCTAAATTCTTATTTAAAAGAAAGTACGGAATGGGAGTTTTACGTTTGCAATACGAGCAGAGCGAAGACTATATAAAATTGTTAACAATTGAAAAAGATTTAAAGTGTTGGCACCCATTGTATCATTACTCACATCTCTTTGTTATAACCTAATGTTGTTAATTCTTAACCTAACTCCTTTCCTAACTAAATTTATATATGTTTTTTCATATCATTTTGACAGGCTTATCAAACCTTGTCAAATCGGCATTCACTTTAATCGAATTTACTTTATATACATTTAATAAAATAATACATATTACTTGAAACAATTTAATTAGTACGAAACATTAAAAAGCGAAAACCATAAAAAAAAAGTTATTAAATATACGCTTAGTGTATTATTTGGTAATAGTTGGATTGAAATACATTCTTATTATCTGGTTTACTACTTTATTGTTACATAAAATCATCAGAGTCATTTCCATCATCATAATTACTAGACATACATTCAGGTTTAAACAATTTATCATAACTACTTTGTTCTGCTTCCCTTTTTTGGCGCATTATTTCTTCTTCCTCCTTTTCCCGCTGAGCTTTTAAAATATGTTTCTTCTCCCTTCTCTCTTCGGAGTCCCTCTCTTCTCTTTGACGACGCAAATCTGGATGGTCTTCAGTTTTCGTTTTATTCAGTCGGTTTACAATTTCATTTACTCTTTTTTCAACACGGACTTTTTTAACACTCTTTTCGCAATAAAATCCTATTTGGCCAACTTCCATATCAGCTGTTTTCTTGAGATTTGACCATAACGTATAAACGACATCTACATTATTTATCTTGTTTCCCTGTATGCTGTTATATTTTACCAACTGAGCAGCGTCGTTGAGAACAGATTGTGGAATATCATCTATAGTTTGACCCTACAAAAAAATAAAAATAAAATAAAGAACCAAACAATTCGGGAGAACGGAATCTTGATACTAATTTATCCTTTCATGCCGTGGTCAACTTATAAATAAATTAATGTAAAATTTGAGCTTCACTACGTCCAATAAAAATGTGTTATTAACTATAACTGACGATGGACCACACATTAAGAAAACGGTTCTAAGTTGATTAACTCTGCACATTCAAATTATTAGAATCATATAGGACTCGAAGACTGAAAGTCTACCTATCACATTTCTTTTATTGTTTTTATATATGACAAATTATTATTGTTATTTATTTGTATATACTTATTATATAAAATAATGCGTAGTTTTTATAGAAGAAAGAATACCTCTTGGAGTCTTAAGTAAACATGAGCAGAGGAATAGTTGTGAACATGAAACCAAACATCTTCTGGCCATCCCCAACGTATAAGTTCTTCATCTGTAAGAGGAATGTTAATTAATAAGAAACTTAAAAAACAAAACCAATCTCGGTCATTAATTTTTGCATGGTCGCAGTCAAATTATTCATACAATATACGTTTTTCCCGTGCAGCTTGAACACCTTACAACAGGATTATTACCAAATACAAACACACAAATTCTTTAACAACTTAATTAATATTAAAAAACAGAAACATAGGAAAAGAGTGCTTGTTCGACTATATCATCGATTTATTGCTATAATCAAAGGAATACTCTCATCCCTAGGGATACAACAATATATTTCCGTTTGAAACAATACGTATGTATGGATACGATACGTACACAAAATTAATTATCAATATCAAACCATTACTCATATATTTACTTTCATGCTTATCCTTTCCCATGTAAATTAAAGCTGGGGGTGATACAATATTACTTTTGAAATAGAACACCATTTTTTATGATTTACTCTAGTTGCAGACCAAACCTCTCTCATTTATAATATGTAACTTTCGATCCATATTTCACAATTTATATTAGTTTTATGTGGTATAACCAGAGAACGTATAATAATACCAAATCTACTAAACAGTTGAAATTCAGAAACACAGACTGCCTCGAATATCCAGAAGCTGAAGCGTWTTGAACAAGGGCACCTGTTCGATTTATGTAAATCAAATTATGAAGTTCGGTAACCACTTCAGTGAAGAAAGTATTATAGAATTTCGTCGAACTTGAAGTTATAAAATTTTATAAAAAACCTCTGATTATGTTCATACATGCACAGAATCAAATTTATAGTGTCTAAAATATTTTCTCAACTTATTACCTCCCTCCAAATTGAAATTGCACTCTCTCTTTCAAGCGGCAACTGCTTTGCTTTATAGGCACCCTATGTATTCTAAAACCATAATATAGTATAATAAATTGCTTGTTATTAATTTGAGTATAGTTTTCAGTGGAATAAATCAAAATCGTTTCTGACACAGGATAATTTTTTGGTCAATTAAAGTACTTAAGTCTGATTTCTTTTTGTATGTATTTTTTCCTATAAAGTGCTAGTTTAAAAGTAACTATTGACCAGTGGAAAGCTAATTGAAAAAAATTTAATTTGTAATAAGAGAAGTTTCCGAACTATTTAATAAAAAAAAAGTTATTATTTAAGGTGAAATAAACATTTATCAAACTAAAAAACCTAAAACATTGGTATTAGTGTAACCATTATATCAAAGGAACACTTTGTTCAAAAGTGAAAAATCAATAATCTTACGCAAAAACGGGCTGGATACTTTACCACACCCGTAATACAAAAGACACCCACAAGATGACGTGATTGGTAAGCAAAATATTAATAATGATAAAATAATTGTTTATACATGATATATATTGTATTGAAAATATAATATGTTTTTTTTCGGATCAAAAATGTTAAAACTGTTTGAATAAAAGTTTTATACACTACACTTATACTTTCTCAATATTTGAACTTTAAAAAATGTTTGCTTTCAATCAAAAATTTAAAGTTGGCTTAAAAATAATACAAAAATAGAAACTAAGCCATTAGAAGCATTACAACAAGACTATAGGTCGGGATATAAATTGTACATTGACTACATTGCGTTCTTGCTAAGTCAAAGTTTCTAACCTTAGAGTGTATTATTGAAAGTATTGTTGCAATCTGCAATATTTGTTTTACTACTACTTTACAGAATTTGAAGAAGCGATTTTACGAAAATCAAATAATTGTAAATATACTCCTTAAAGAGAATAGAATTCCACTTTAAATTCAAAAGAAAGAAGTTGTTGCTTTGCCTTGCTAATTTTCAAACTAAAATCTATCTACTCAAAAATCTATTGTTGCTTTATTTACAAATGTGAATTCATTTGACTGATAACTTAAAAGCGAAATATGTATTTAATATTGACTTTCATTCTTATTCATATACTTATATATATTAAAATATTTGTATCTGTTATGTTTTCATGAAATAACAGCTAATAAACTTTTTATAACAATATTATCAATACTGTAAATAAGAATTTTAAACTTTTTTTTTGTGAATTCACTTTCAGAATAAATTCGCTTTCTTGCCTTGAAAAATAAAAATTAAAAATGGACGGTCCAGCGTTTAATGAAACTGAATTAAATTGCCAATATACAGCTCTACAAGATTATGAGCAATATCAACCAAGATTCCCTAACTCTTCAATCTACGTTACCAAGTCTCCTGAGTTGGCGGTTTCAAGAGCCGCTGGTCAATGTTCGTACGGTTCGGATCACAATACAGCAAGTTTAATCGGACCACAAGTTCAACTTGCTACTTCACAAGAACAAAATGAGTCTGTAATTCAAGAACGTTCTTCAGTTTCTACCGTAAGATATATGCAAGCAGCACAGTATGACGAATTACCTGATTACGGTATTAATGCTTGCCCTGTTGAGTCGCACTATATTGAAAACCCCACCATTGCTTATGGATACGTGTCAGAAGTTAATTTTGACTATCCGATTGAAGCAAGCAATACCAACTCGTACTCACCAAGGCCATTGTTATTTGATAGCAATCTTAATGGATCAGACGCAGCTCTTCCTTCGGATGGAACGAGAGCATATGAAGGCCATGCTGATTATCAGAGCAAAATGGCACAACTTACTCTAACTCCAATGGATTCGGTTTCACACATAAGAGATCCCAAACATATGCTAATGGAAGGATCGGGAAGTGATATATGTTCAACAATGAGATGGCGTGATCCAAATCTTTCAGAAGTTATAAGCTTTTTAAATAACCCAAATAACGAAATTAAAGCAAATGCAGCTGCATATTTACAACATTTATGTTATATGGATGATCCAAATAAGCAGCGAACTCGAACATTAGGGGGGATACCACCTCTTGTGCGCCTGTTATCATACGATATACCAGAGATCCACAAGTAAGATAGTCGAATGGAAATAAATAGCATTTATGTAATTTTTATA